AGCCCCTCAAGGCCACCTCTGCACCCCACCCCCTCCGCCCCTGCATCACTGTGACTGTGCTGTCACCGGAGACGGCAGCTCTGGACCACCTCACTGCCGTCCTTCACACCAACCACTTACAAACGACCCTCACGGTACGAGCGGAACCTCCCGAGCGGGTCTCGGGTCACATGTGACTGTTTAGTGTGGGACAGCGGGGCACTGCTGGGACTGCAGGGTCCGCAACAGGCTTCTGGTCCAGGTGCAGAGGACAGAACTCCCTGTGTTCTAAGGCTCGCGGGTTAGGAGGGTTGAACAGTGTGTCCTTGTGTTGGACTTGGGCCTGCAGGACGGACGAAATGCTGCCTTCTCTCCTACCCGTCTCTCTAGTACCGTCTCCTGATTCTGTCGCTCGACACCCAAGAAGCAGAGGGGAGGAGCGGGGAGAAGGAAGAAGGAAGGGAGGAAGGAAGGAAGACGCTTGTGCAGACTCCCGGCCCTGCTGCGTGGTGGCCCGCTCGCCCTCCCACCCGCAGGCCGCACCTCCACGCGGCCCATTCCTCTCCAGCCGGGTGGGCGCCTTCGCTCTGTTTCCCTCCTGCCAACATACTTATGCGGCTTTGATTTCTACCCTCAGATTGTCAGACACGGGACACCGGACAACGGCATTTTTGTCACTCCTGCTAATCAGAGGACGTGAACCGTGAAGAGCGGGCAGCTGGCGCTGTCCGCAGGCCACACTCCCACGATCTGGGACGGAGTAAGAGGTAAATGAGGACAAAAGCCTCAATGTGGTAAAGTCATGTATCCGTAAGATAAATGGACACAAGAATTAGTGGAAACAAGTATCCGGAAAGGAGGAAGGGAAACATGTTAAATGCGAACAGCCAGAAAACTTGAGAATAAAAAGTGAGATGGTCTCCACGAACACCAAACACGTTCACAGACTCGAAGCCCTCGTCTGCTAAGAAGCTTGTCTTCGTAGAAGAATTTCAAGCCTGTAATGTTCATGCTCGTGTGATGTCAAATTTGGCTTCAGTGAAACCACCACAAAGTCGCCGGTTCAACCTCGTTTACCGTCTGGATCGCGTAGCTCACAGCATGTGGGTCAACATGTTTTGTCATTTGAATATTTTTGCTTATTAGCGCATTGGGGGCTCATGGGTATTTATCTCCAAGACAAGCAGCTGAAGGAGAAACGATCTGGAGGGTGTGGTGTGGCGCGTACCATGGGCGCCAGGCGCTCGGGCTCGGGGACCTCACACCCAGGCCCTGCCCCTCTGCTTTGACCCCCTGCACACGACATAACTTCGGCCTCAGCTTTCTCCCCCACAGAAAGGGGACGATATTCCCCGCCTTGAAGAGCTGTCTTGCAGATTAACTCAGCTAATACACGTCCACCCACAGGTCCACCACAGAGGCGCCCTCCGTTGTGACCACACATTTGTGGCGCATGTGAAAACTCTTCCGGGAACACACCCACGCTCTCGGAGGCATCAGAGCTGTATGAACCAAGCCCAGGCCCCCAGGCATGAGACTCTGACCTACAATTGTGGGGTTGGAGCCTCTGCAGAGGTCACCACATCCTTCATTTTGCAGATGAGGTGAGCAAGGGAGACTAAGTAGCTTGCTAAAAGTGGCAGCGGTGGGACAGACACCTAGGCTGTCCCATTTCCATGTCAGGTCACCTCTTACACTAGATACCCACACCACAGCAAGACTCTCCTGTCACTACCACCAAGAGTTTGGGGCAAATGACTTTTATTTCCTTTTGAACAAAATCTTTGGTCATCTGTATTAAGCTGGGGGCCATCTCTGTCTTCATGGTCAGCTGGGGGACTCTCCCCCACTAGCCTATGTGGTCAAGAACTGAGGTCAACATTTACGGCTTTATGGAAACTTAGCAGGTTTAGAGGAGTAACAGTCCTGTTCCCTTGGAAATGGTAAGTTCTCTAACCTGCATACTTAGGGAAATATAGCAACCATCAAATATTTGAAATACTGCCATACGAACTAGGAACAGCTAGAACAGTTCCCAGCACAGCAGACTCTTAGACCGCATTCCTGAACTGGATCAAGTTGACTGTCTGCTGCATGTCTCCAGGAGCTAGAGCTGAGAGCTACAGGTGCCTGTTGTCACCTCGGGAACACCATGAACCACATGCCAACCGTGTGCTCAGTTCAGCAGCAGGATGGACCACCTCGCGGAGCGGCAGGCTGTCCGTTTCTGTAGTAGTCAAGACAGCGGTGGAAAAGCTCACCGTCAGGGGTGGCAGGGTGGGGACGGAGGGTTGGTACAGAACCGTCTGCAGCATGGCACAACGGACGTGACACAATCTTCCCCTAATGGCTGCGGGTCTTGGAACTGGGGTTAGAGGTCAAGCATGATCGTGGTCGCTGTGTTAAATGGTCAACACTGACATTTTATGTGTGTGTATGTGTGTGTGTACACATACACGGTATAATCATGTACTTGAGACTATATGTACACATACACGGTATAATCATGTACTTGAGATTGTATGTACACACACACGATATAATCATGTACTTGAGATCGTATGTGTACACACACGGATATAATCATGTATTTGAGATTGCACATATGCTCAAGATGATATTCATGTGAGATTACATATACATACACATATTTCAGGTAATTTACATATATTTTTTAAGCGGGCTCCACAGCCAGCACAGAGCCCAACATGGGGCTTGAACTCACAACCCCAAGATCGAGGCCTGAGCTGGGATTAAGAGTCAGATGCTTAATTGGCCGAGCCACCCAGGCGCCCCCCAGATTGTTTTCTGGAGCAGTTTGTTATCGTGTTTCTCACACGGTGTCCGGTGCCCAGTGCGAGTGTGCATTCCACCGCCCCGCCCGGAAGTAGGGCTACGTCCTGCCACCCACACGCCGGTAGTGCCCGGCTTCGGGCCTCACACGCGGTGGGTACTTCATGTGTCAAATTAATTCAGGAACAAAAGAACAAAAGTGTAGGATATGGAAATGAGCTCTTGGGATTCGGGTTATATATGAAACAAGATCTCGTTCTAGTAGTGTCCTTTTCCCAAGTCAGATTCATACAAGTTGTGTGTGGAACGGCCGAGTGCTCCAACATGGGTCCGGGCTGCGTGTGCAGCCGCAGAGGGTCCGCCGTCACCGGACAGGACGGACGGGTGGAGGAGTGTTTTAAAAGCTCTCTCCTTCTCAAACGCCTTAACATGTACGTACACTTGGAGCTCGCTGTTACACCACTAACTTATGTCAAGGGGACAATTAACAATGTAAAAGGTTTACAAGATCAGCCATTAACTTCTTTCATAAAGCAGAATTTAAAAAGCTAACAGACAAAATTACAAGAAAGGATCTATATGTACTTAGCATAGCCATAAATGAATGCTACATACCATGGAAAATGGTGTTACAAAAATGTGCTTATTGATACAGAAAGGTGTGTATGCGTAAAGTAAAAAAAGGGTCAAGAACAAAATTATAGTATAATCCATCTTAATTTAAAATTACATGTGCAAGGAAAACAGTTGCAAGAAATTTTGAACCAACATATTAATGATGGTTATCACTGAATTCTGGTATTTTCAGTGTTTTGGCTTTTTATGAGGTAGACACGGCTATATCTATATATGGAATAGAGACATAGATATTCATTAGAATATCTAATTCTGTACAATGGACAAATACTAATTATGTAGCGAAACCTAAAACTAAAAGTTCTCTCTAGCACCCCGGCAGTTCGATGCCAGCAGGAATGACAACATTTAGAACATCAGTTCCTGATAACGTCGCCACCAAAATGTGAGGGAGACTAGAGAGAGGCCTTGAAAACGTGTGACTCACAATTACAGATTGACGGCGCAGTGAATGGAGAGCGCCAGGCCGGAAGGACGGGCTCGTTTCTGACGGTCTTGATGGGGATTCATCTGGTCTTATTTGCAAGACTATCACTTCTCAATCCCACCCACTCAACACTGGAAGAGAAAGCAGAGGCTTAGAAAGGTTGAGTGTGTGTTTCAAGGCCACGGGACGCAGACAGAGCTCTCCAACGCCCTCTAGTCAAGGTTGCACTACTCATGAAGAGGGTGAAAATTGATGAAATTGAGTCTCAAGATTCATCTTCTAAGAGTTACGAATGGTGGTCTGGGTGTGTGACCTTGGAAAAAAGACACCACAGTGTTACCATGTGGCTGCAGTCCTAGGTAAGTCATTGGAAACGGGTGTCCCCTGGATCAGCTGTCCCCCGCCTCAGCCCTATTGTCATCATGTCCACAAGGGGGTGAGGACAGGTCCTCCCCAAGGGCACAGGAGGACTGACAAGGAGGACGAGTCAGAAGCCACACAGGGCGGCCGACACGAAGTGAGCTCAGGGCACGTGCGAGACGCCATTAGTGACAACACGCCTCTCCATGTGTCCATCAGCAGGAAAGGGGATGGTCTCGCAAGAATGACACATTTCCAAACTTTCACCCTTGCCCTGCACATTCTGAGTGGGCCACAGGCTGCCTCTGGGAGACAGAGGGAACGCCAGCACATGCGGGGCGTGGGCGGGCTCCTTGGCGCTCTCCTCTCCACCCACCAGTCTGCAGAGAAACCATGAGGCCCCCAGGGAAGGACCCCAGCAGAGTCGCCTGAAAGTCCTCAGGCACCGCCCGAATATTAAGAATGAAACATGAGGAACTTAAAAGCACTGTGTTGACATATAAATACGCTTTTTGGCTAATGCGCTCGGCTTTATTTGGCTCGTTTCTGAGACACTTAGATGGCGCCCAAAGCTCTCATCAGGGTAAGGCTGTGCCCCTCTAACCAATGGTATTTCATCAACTGAACAAGAAGGTAAAACTGAAGCATCTCGATGTCAAAAACAGTAAGAAATAATGGCAGAGAACAGCCCTTGCCTCGACGGACCGAGTTCAACATGGGGTCCCAGCACATCCCAAATGCCTGTTCTCAGGTAACGCCCCCCGCATCCCCGGCAAGAGCGCCAGGCCCGTCTGTATGAACGTACCACACTCGACGGCTCCTCAGACGTCGGCGCAGATCGCACAGGTGTCCAGACGGCCGCTGCGTGCACCTTGGCCTCGGCCCCCGCGTGAGCGTCTCTGCACAAAGAGGGGACAGGAGACGTGGTTAGTGGGGCCGAGATGGTCTCGCGATCTGATGGGAACAGGCGATTCCCTGCCCGGAGGCCGCTCTCCTTGAACCAGTGAACACTGTGCACACATGCGTCACACACACTGCTGTGCAGCTCGGCACCATCCTGGAGCTACATGACCCTGCTCCGGCCTTCAAAGCCGTAGTGCCTTTGAAATAGAAAGTCCGCTCTTTAATAAAAATTAAAGAACAAGGTCAGGTGGGTGACACTTGGGTCAGTCCTCAGGGCTTCGGCCTCTGTACAAAGACCACCAACAAAGGGAGGGGAGTCCGAGATGAGCTCAGGGGCCCAGAACACCGCCGGCTTGTCAAGGAATCATCACAGTCACACACAGAAGGTTCTGGACCACAAGGTGAACACGCCAGCTTTCAATATGGCAGCAGCCGGGGTCACATGAGAACCTCAGATCCAGGTTGCTCGCCCAAGGCCACCTGGGGACTAATTCTACAGGGGAAGCCCGAGATCAAAACAAACAGAGTGAAGAAAGACGGCTGGGGAAGGAAGGAAGTCGGACGTTTCCTATTTTCTAGGTTTACTCAGAGAAGTGGGGGCACGGGAGGGAAGGGAAAAGAATTCCTCTGGAACATTAATTCAACTTTTTCTAACCACCAACCATACTCGTTCCAATTTTAGCTGTTCTGTGGGAGGAAATATGAAACATGAAAATCTACGCTCTCAACTTTGCTTCTATTCTGTGCCTCTACCTGGGATGCCCTCCCCCTGGGTCTTCACAGCCCGCCCAGGGTCTCACTTTGCACGGCTGAAGCGAGACCGCAGAGTGTGCTAAGAGCAGTGCGGACCGTCGCTGCTGTTACTGACTGACCGCGAGAGCCAGGCTCCGCGCTAGAGGCTGAGGACCCACGATCTCATCTCACTCCTGAGACAGGAGACGTTGTTCCCGTTTTGCACTCGTTCAAGATGTCCTGTGATGCAGAGACACACAGCCAGGATGCACGACCCGCTCCTTTTGACTCCAACATTCTGTCTACGTCTGCACACTTTCCTCCAATGTCCCAGACCCACTCAAACACCAGTCCTGAGGTGTCCACTCTCTTGGAAGGAGACATTTAGTCCTTGCGACCCCGCCCTGGCTCACACGCAGAAACGTTTCCCGGTGTCTTCAGAATACCATCATTGCTATTAAATGCGGAGACCATTTTAGATCATCCCCCCAAATCAAATGAACCATGCACACTTTTAAAAGGAGTTACACAGATATCAAGTTTCTGGCAATTTCTAATAAATGGGAAAAATAAAACAAAGAACCCATTAGAAGCTACTTATGAGAATTTCAGGCCTTGTGATCTTACTTTATAACCAAAAATGACATTAACTCTAGTATCTACTGGGGTCAGAGCATGCTTGCCTAGTGTGAGTCAGAAGCAAGTGTTCTGATGGTTCCAAGTGGCCCCAAAGGGCTCCCTGTCCTGGCGCAGGGCAGGTGAGGCCACCCGTGCTGAACAGGATGCTGACTCAGCCAACTGAGGGGCACGCGAGCTGGCCCTGGGGGCTGGAACCAGGACACAGGTGGGCCTCGGTCTCTCTGCCTCCTCTGAATGGTTCTGCGCAGGGCAGGAGGGGGGCTGCATAATCCCGAGGGCAGGGAGGGAAGGGGGCTCACGAGAGGACAGGATCGGTGTCAGACACCACATTGCTGAGTTCTTTCTACCTGCCACCCCACTTAGAGAAGTTTGTGGCCAATGAATAGAATTAATGCTCATGCGGTCACGTAAGGACAGACGTGGATACGTGTGTGTGTGTGTGTGTGTGTGTGTGTGGACACGAGCATTCGTTGCACCTGGAATTGCCGCTGCTTTAATCTGTGTTTAGTCAATCATCTTTCTTTTTAAAAAGGCTCGGTAGGTCTACAGACGTCCGCGCGACTTCGAGTGTATCGAAACGGGGTGCTGGGCTTTGGAATGTCGGGAAGAACTGACTAGACAAGAATGCATTTGGTCCCTTGTCTTTCCCATTTTTCCTTAAGGTCCTGAGAACCAGCGTCCTGGCTCCAACAGGAAACGCTGGATTTACAGTCCGTGCAGATGCTCAAAGCTACCTGATCTGAAGAAGCAGGAACAAGCACGGACCCGTCCCCATCTTTTTTGTTTTTTTATTAAGTCTCTCCAAAAATATGAATAATCTAATTCCTGTGAATAGAAAAAGGCAGAATTTCAAAGCTTTTGGAAGAGTTTCTAGTCTGTAAAGTGGGCACAACGCATTAAACACTTTGGCCTCTACGATGAAGCTTTTGTTATCTGTAAGTTAGGGAATTGGTCTTCAAATTCATACGGATATTCCAGTTAATAATTATCTTTTAAACACAAAGTTGTAGTTATTTCTGCATCAATGTACCACTTTTCAGCAGAGCAGAAGCCGTACGCTTTCCCCGGAAATGACAGGAGCAACGAGCAACAGCTTTGACATGCCAGGCTGAGCCGCAAGTGGGTTCTAACCACCGGGCGGAGCGCACTGGGGTGAAGGGAGAGGCACGTCCAAGAGCAGGGTGTTTGCTTAGGCCTTTCCGCAGCTTTCCCAAGACAGACATCGATGCAGCATTACATAGGTTCTTTGGCTTCGTTTCCTGAGATCTATGCTACGGTTCATCCTCTGATGAAGGGAAGATACACTCACAGACAGAAACAGAGACGTGGCACGTGCTCTGTCGTGCGTAGTCCTGGCAGCGAGGCAGGTGGATTTCGCTGATTCTGCAGGTGACAGAAACAAGGCCTGGAGGCTAAAGACCACGGAGTCTGTGGACCGCAGAGCTGGATTTGGACAAGGACAACCTAATTCCTCAGCATGTGCTCCTGGACCCCAGGCTAAACCCTCAATAAAATCAGAGGCCACTTTTAAAAAAACCACCATATACCTAGACAAAGCAAAATCTCGGGGAGACTTTAGTAAGAGGTTACATGTTCTCTGCGCACCTACGCCTGTGCTGTCCCCAGCCGTGGGGGCTCCCGGGCACTGGAGGTTGGCTGGTTTCTGCGACGTGTTACAACTGCAAAATACCAGGGAGCGCTATGAAAACAGATACAAAATGCATATTGATTACTTATTAGTGTGATAATCGAGGTTAGATAAATATTAAATCTAATCTCATCTGCTTATTTTTATTTGGTTTACTCTGTGTTGGGAAAGGGAAAGCGCAGACACGATGCTGTGCCTCGCGTCACATCCCCACTGGACAGCGCTGGTCCACAGTCTCGCTGATCAGGTTCCTTTCACAATGAGCTACACTTGGAGTTTTTATCTGACTGGGGCCAAGTGCAAATGCTCAGAGTGGACAGTGTCCTGCTAGAGGTGGTGTAAGACACCCAGGTTGGCCTCCGGAGCGCTGGCTCCGAAAATCCTCCAGTTCATAGCTTCTCAAATGAAAGTGAGTTGACAGCACCGTGATGGGGCCCGTGCGCGGCGGGGATGAGGCAGGTTCTGTGTCCCGCTGGCCGACAGGCTGCAGCGTTTGGGCACAGGAGTTGGAAAGTTTGCTTCTTTGTGTTTATTATAAACATAACTTACTACGTAGACGTCTATCTGTCGGCGTCTTTTCCAGGTGCAAAGTACCCCCAACCCCCAGCGCGGTTGCAGCAGAGCCCTCCCCTCTCGTCCTTCTGAGCGATGTGCCGCCCGCTTATTATTCTGCCTTCGGGCCAGGATAGTGAGGTCAAGGCAGGTAGTTTCCACACACACCTCATGGAAAGCCTGGGCTGCAGAAAGTGAATGCAAAACAACTTCAAACGTGTGAGCACGTGGTGACACCGGTAGCAGCAACAGAAAAGACCCTAACAGCCCGCTCACCGCCGAGTGACCTCGGACGACATCTCCTCGTGAGCCCGGAGCAGACCTCTTGCGACACTGCCTGGTGGTCTGCAGGGGACACATGACCTCGCGGGCACAGCCAGTGGAACAGAAGCTGAGTGGAATGGAACAAAACTCTCTAATGGGCTGAGCCCACGATGGGTATTTTAAAGCATTTGATATCTGAGAAATGATGTGCCTTTCTTAGTATTGTCTGAGGGGACGCAAAAATGAGATTCAGATGTAGATCCAATTAATCTCCTACAGAGTCAGCAATCCCCAAGCCCCAACCTCACCTGCGTCACTGCATAGACAGAGCCTCCCTAACCCACCGCCCACAGGGTCCCCGGAGGTGGAGGTGGGAGGTGCAGGGAAGGAGGAGGACGGCGTGACATGCGGGGAGGTGTGCTCCCTGGGGAAGACCTCTCCCAGTCAGGTTTGGGATCCCAGCGGGAGGCAAGGTATTTATGTTCTGACGCTGGCTTGGCAACCCCCCATCACAACATCACCCACGAGCACGTGATGCCAGCCACACAGTCGCAAACCCTGGTACAGAGGCAGGCAAAGAGGTGGCAGGGCCCGGGTGGATGTGTAGCACCCCACTCGCTCTGGGGTCCCTGGTAGCCCAAACAGAACCTCGGGGGACTTGCCTCCCACAGTCTCTGCCTCCGCACACCCCCAGAGCCCCAGGCCACACCTAACCACTGCCTGCACAGATGGCCCTGGAGACCAGCTGGGGCAGAACAGAGCTGGGAGGCCTGGAGCCCCAGCTCGTACCTCATCTCCTTCCTTTTTTTTTTTTTTTAGAGGGGTTTTTTGTTAATGAGAGTTTAAATGCCGTTAGACTAGCTGACCTCCAAAGCCGCCTTCTGCCGGAAGATGAGGGCGTTATATGCCTTATTACCCCGGCGTGAACACACGACTAAGGTGTACTGATTCCGCCGTGTGATTAAGAAACTACATTTCCAGGAAATGCAACGCTGATGCGGGCATTGAGATAGCACCGAAGGAAGGGAATCATTCAAGCTTCGTTACTCACGATATGTCCACACCGACTGGAAGGCTATTCTAGGAACCCGGGCTGAAAAATCAAGATTGTCTTAGCTGTCCAGGCGCCCGTCCACACAGCCTGCCCCTCCTGCTCATTCT